CAAAATCGGATTTATGAGTATGTTTAAAATCCACAAAAAGACACGTGAAATCAGAGAAAATTTGAATTGTTTCACTAGGTACAGAATCGGTTTGCCTACCGATTTTGTACCTCGTGGCACAATTCAATAAATACTTGAATTTGGCATGACCACTTTTTCCTTTAAAAAAGTACAAAATCGGGAGACAAACCGATTCTGTACCTGTAGAAGAAAAGAAGGCACAGAGCATCAAAAAGTTCAAAATGCAGGAAGATTGGTTGTCACCCGGATTTGAGCAAACTACTACCACTGTCCCAACTGTGCACACTGCCCAATTTTAATTTGTCCACCTATTTTTTTGTTCAAGATCATTTTCAGATCCATCAAATAAACATTTTCTATAACTTTGACTAATTTCTGGAATATTCATACAGAAAATTTCTGAATTATAAAAAGGCAAGGCGAAACTGGACGAAATCTGTGGAACAGACAAACTTTTCGAAAAACTTTTGTTCTTTCTATTAACTCTATTCTTTTTGTACATAAAATTTGAGAAATTCCGGTTTTCAAAAATGATAAAAAAATTCTTCAAATTTCTACCATCTTATATGTATATTATCGATTCTGATTATTTCACCAATTGAAGAAGTGTGAAAAAGATAGCACAGTTAAAAAACCATCATGTTGCTCGTTTGAAGTTTTCCAGGAAATGTGTTGTTCTTCAAACCGGAAAATATCTTTCGGAGAATTTGCATTCAAATGGATACCCACGATAAAACCGAAAATCGTCATTGAATTTTTGATTTCATTGGGCCGTGTTGTAGATGGAGAGCCACCTATTAAATGCTGGTAGATAGTTTTTGTGAAAGTTCACTATCTTTTACCAAGATCCAGAATTTTTTTTAGTTTGTTGTTTTCCAAAATCTTTTGAATATTATCATACCTAAAATGCATTATGTTCATTAGAGAAGGCACCTGTCCAGCAGTGAATTTTAAACATTTCAGGTTGAAATCTAGAACTCTCTAACTACCTTACGGATAAGCAATCTGGTTTTTTGGGCTTTTTCGTGAAACATTGTTTTCTGAAAATCTATTTGTCACAGAAGCTAGTGAAGCCATAACTATCTTCTTTATTTGCTCTGATAGAAAACTTTTGATGTTCATTTAAAAAATGCGAGAATGTCGTGGAAACAGTGCCGGCTGGTGACTGCCGGTTTGTTAGAGATTATGCGGTATCTAAACTTCCCGGTTTTTTTTCTAATTTGGATTATTCTTGATTGACAGTGGTACTAAACTAAGCATCTGAAGTAGGATCTTGAAGAATCAAATGTTGGTACCCCATCTGAAATGATACATAAAAGCAAAATGTATTTTATTAAAACTATATTATCACCACATAAGAAAAAATCACAATAAATTACTTTCAAAACCCGTATGAGCATTATGAAACCCGATAAAATTATCCATCATCTAACAATCAAAACTGTTCCTATCGTACGTTCCATTCGCCTTCTTTTGCATCTCTCGGAACTGAAATTTATATTTTCAGAATACGTTTATCTTCCATACTATACCTGAGGAAATGAAGTCAACCAAGCCGCATCAGGTGTTTTCCCTGTTACATTTCTCCTTATCATCTCGCGCATACAGGCAATCGTTCCAAAATCAAAAGTTGCCAATACCTTGTTTGCTGAAAAGAAAAATTTAATTCACTTTAGAGGAAACAAATATACCTGTTGCCATCTGACTTTTAAGTAGGTCGTTCAGATACTCAACACCCAATATACAGATTCCATGCCTTTTCCATTTTGAATGACACTGCTTGTCAAATCCATTCGGTCCTGAGAAGTCCCAATGAGTCAGTCTCGTGAGAATATCATTATGATTTTGTGTACAGTTCGATTCCATCTGGCCATCCAATCCCAAATAGTTCTCATAAAGTGTTTGAACGAGCATTTCATCAACTCCGTAGTAGTCGTTATCATCGAATAATTTAATGATTACTTCCATATTGAGTTTTTCGAACAATGATTTCACGAATACTTTCGAAATGATCACTTCGTTCAAGCTCTTCCGAACTCTCATCTTTGTATGGAGAATTTCATCAGAAACGCCAGTTTCTGAAAACTATAAATTTTGATTCAGAACTAATCAGACTAGCCCTCACCATTTTTGAAAAGTTTCATTCCAGCTGGTGTCCAATCGGCCTTTGTGTTATATCTATAGCTGAATCCGAAATCGAATCCCATGATGCTGGTGTAGTTGAGACGCTCACTGAGGTCCGAAAGTTGGTAAGGAGTTTTGATGACCAAATCGAAATTCTAAAATAAATTGTTAGTGTTTCAAAACAGAAATTAGGCTTACCTGTAGGATAATGGCATGATCCCATTTTCTATCCAGAATATTTTGAAGACAATCGAAATGAGCAGGATCTTGTCCATGACCTCCACTATTCAACATGTATTCTTTCTCCAGAACAATCACATTTTCAAAGCATTCACTCATACTTCTGACCGAATTCTTCAGTTTATCACTGCTTTTTGCATCCATAATAAAGCAAAATGTGTTATCCGGATGATAAGATAACGATAAAAGAGCTTCTTGAAGCTCATAGATCTTGTAAATAGTTCTGACAAATGCAATTGGCCGTTTCAGGGGTGAGAATGGAGGCATATCTCCGTAAACTCGTTGTCTGATGGATGGACAATCCATTCGTAATTCGAAAAGACGCTCTTGATCGAGTTTCATTCGTCCATTATTCACATACAACTCAATCGTATCCTTATTTCCTTTTATCATTTCAGAACAGTTCAGAAATTGACTCTCCTCTCTGAAAAAAGCTTCTTTCAACTACAATATTCACTCATAAAATGTGATTTTTTTCCAATTTCTTGCTCATCTTCACAAGAAATTAGCTCAATAACATTTTCAAATAAAGGCTTACTGTGTGAAATAATAATCCATCCATTGAGTGATATTTCTTTTTCCAGTATTATTAATTTCGTTATCGAGTCGTTTCAGAGTTGGACTATTTTTCGCTGCGTCTTTTACTGATATAGATCCCTGAAAAATGCAATTATTCGTTTTTTTTTTCATAAGCTAAAATATTCACCGGATGAGCTTGAACACTAGTTAAAAATATCATACATGCAACGAATCCAAATAGAAGTAAAAACCCAATTAGAGTGGAGTACACTGAATTGGATTCTGGGTTCTGAATTACGTCTGACTCTAAATCCAGATCGTGTAATCGCCTGTATCGTGTTCCTGACATTTCTGAAAACATAACTTTGTATCTTATGTCTTGAAAATACCAAAATTATCTGGGACAAAAAGAAATTCACTCAAGTTGATTCTGAAGCATACATGTGGATGGCCGGGCCGGCCCGCTTGCCTCAAAACTTTCGGCCCGCCTAGGACCACTTTTCGAAAATTTTATTTTTCGAATCTGCCAAAATATTTATAATGGCACAAGTATTAATCCAAATGCCTACAACCATCCGAAAAAGTCAATTTAATTGAATTTTTAGAAGAAAAAATCAAACTTCATTAAGCCAAGGATGAAACTTTTTTTCTAATCACGACTTCAAAACAGTTTTTGTCGACAGTATCGGCATCTAGTGTGGATTTTCATTCACTAAGCAGAAAAACCATCTTGAAAAATGATGATTCGCTCTAAAATTTCAAAATTTTCAAAAAGCGGGTCGGCCCACGGGCCGGCCATGTGTAATTTTTTCCGGCCCGGCCCGGCCCGCTTTCAGAAAAATCTCAGCCCGGCCCGCGGGCCGGCCATCTTTTCCACAAGTATGTTCTGAAGTGTTAAGAGTGAAAAACAGAAATGTTGAAACATTTAAAATGACGAGCCAATTTCAGTGTTTGCACTGAGTATCATATTTATGAATGAAATGCATTGTGCCTATCAATAAGGAAAAGTATGAAACGAGTAGAGAGTTTGATAGCGCTGTTATCAAAAATAACCAAAGAGATACAAAGGGTTGGCGTATACCTGGGACATTTTATTTGCAACCTGCAATGAAACCCCATCCTCGCCGCAGCTTGAATTCTCAGTTTTAGTTTCGATGATTTACAAGCTTCTAGGACCAGAATACAGAAACATCTGTTTTGGATTAGAAAGTCCCGAAATGCCCTCCGGATGTAAAGGTGTGGTTCCCGAGAATGATTGCTATTTCTAGATACTGGCTAGGAAATTGAAAATTCGTTCATAAAAAAGTTCGAATCTATTTTTTGGTGTTTTCATCTTAGAATTTCTGGAGGGAAAACCTCAATTGAAGATCATAGAAACATAATCTTTCAAGAAAACAGAAAATAATGGCTAATTAATTAAATCAAGAGCAGAATTAAAACTTTTTTATGTGAACCTCTGAAAGTTTGAAATTTTCATCACAGTTCCTAAGTATTTTTTTTGAAAATGCTGAAAAATATCGGAAAATTTCCAAAGAATCAAATGGCAATATAATTTTTGTTTGCTCACATTTCAGAGTTTGCATTTCACTTTATCAAAAATTCACCTCCCAGTGACAACGACTCCATATACTCTTACTTCCGTTGTTGATAGCAGACAGAGAGAGTAGAGTGATATAGAACTAGCAGTAACTAGGAGACCGATGAGAAGAGAAAAGAGCCAAGAAGCCTCACACGAAATGCAGCACCTGCTCATTTAATTAGTTTAGAGCCGTTCCTATTCTCTCGCCTAATGAGACAATGGATCAATACAAAATGATGCGGTTCTATGAGCAATTCATGGAAAAAACTCCGCGAAAAAATTCGGGAAAAGTTGAAAGAAAACATGTACTTGGAGCCTGTTGTTACGAGAAACAAAACCTGGGAAAATCACAAAAACCAAACAGAAGAAGTGATAGTTTAAAAAAACTTGTATTTTGAAGCTAGTTTGAGAAACGAAAATAGTTGGTACGTAGAAAAGTATACACTCAAAGGAAGCCAGAAAAATTGAGCCCCGCGGAGATAACCATGGAGATATGAAGGTCGTCTGAAGGACGTATCCTGAGTTTTTTTGACTTTTTTGTTTTAGAATTAGTTAGAGAAATATAAATATTGGATCAATAGAGGGAATTGACACAAGAATTGCAAATCAATCTAGAAAAAAGTTTACAAAAACAGTAAATACTCTAATAAAAGGGTTCCTTATGTTTGAATTTCGATCTCAATTATCTCGATTTTCATAAGAGTTATCAAAAATGAGACAACGGATAAAACGTTGGTAATATTATGAAAAACAATTTATCAGTTGATAGATTTTAGTTACCATTTACTGAAATTGAGTTAATTCAGCTCAAAGTGCAAATATAGGGTGGTCTTGATATTAGTGTTGACGGTAAGTTGAGGGTAGAATCGGCAATTTTAAGAGAGTGTCGTATTATCATTGACAGATAAAGCTACGGATGATTGAGCTCAATTTTATTTATTTATTTTCACTTTCGCTTCTCAAAATTCACCCGGAAAGTGTATTTTTAGTGACGAATTCGAATTCGATATTTTGAAAACAAACTTTTCGAAATCGGATTCGATACTATCGAAGACACATTCAAATCTATGGTTCTCTATGGATCAATCTATAGTCCCTCTCTATAAAAAAAAGAAGGTAGAAAATAATATGCTATACACAAGGTGCAAGTGAATAAAGTTTGAAAATCAAGATACTAAAAATTTGCTACTTTTCGAAATGGACCAACTTTCAGAAGTCTTCTCATTTATGATGCATGAATCGGAACGTGAGGCGCGGGCGTGAATCTATGTAAAGAAGGAGAGATCTAGATTGAAACAAAACAAAAGAGTTCTATATAAGCTGCACAAATAGAGTCATCAATCTAACAAAACTGTCTGTTCTTTGGCATTTTTTGACTAGTAAGGGCGAAGGAGAAAGATCTGGTTCAGTGAGGATATAAAGGTGAGGTTGGAAAACAGAGACAGCCATCGGATTATTTCCAAATTTGGAGTTCAGTGGTATTACCGGAAAATGAGTAACTGTGATCGAAAATTGATTTCTGTGGTGATGATGTGCAATACGCCGATTTGTTGCATTGTAGGAAGTTTCATTGGTGTTTCGGCGAGGGTAAAATACCCTCTCCTGCGGGGGCTCAACTTTTTGGCTTCCGCTTACTGTATCTCAAACTTAAATTTCTAATTTGGAATTTCAATTTCAGGCTCTCCAAAATTTCTGAATAATATCAGAAAACAATATTTGAGTTGCCAATGAACTCTGGTTTATTGAATCTTTGAATTTCTGAAATCCGGAATTTTTGCGCTCCCGATTTTCTGAAGTTCCGAGTTTTTGGATATCTGAAGGTTTTCTGAATTTTAGGATTAATGAATTGTTGAAATTTCATCTCTAATGTTTCGAATTCTCCAGTTTCGAAAAAAAATTTTGAATTTTCAAATTTCAAAATTTAGGATTTTCGAATTTTCACATTTCCCGAATTTCGGAATTCCAGATTTTTCGCATTTCCAAAATTGTTAATTGATACTACCCCAATTCGTTGCATTGTGGGAAGTTTCGTTGGTGTTTCGATCATAAGAAAAGAGAAAAATAACATTTATTATGAAGGAATTCAGAAAATCAAACAAAGAAATTAAGCATGAATCATGAAATGTGAAATTTAAAAGCTCGTCCGAAGACCCGAATTTTTTCTCGATAGACATTGCAAACTATCAGAATTATTGCTTACTGTTTCCAAGTGTTTTGATAAAGGAGTTGTGCTGTAAAAAAGTATATGATATACTGTAATTTCTGAATATCCAACCTCATCTAGTTCAAAAATGTGCTCAGAAGTGTCTCCCAGATCCGCCTTCTTTGTTTTTTCACCAACTGGCTCGAACAGATTCTGCCAGTAATGTTTGGCAAGAATCGCATGGCCCAGTTTGCTGAGATGGAACAGATCGACTGCATAGAAAGCAGAGTTGTAGTGGCCTTGTTGCTGAAATGTCAAATTTCCAATTACAGGTCTTTTGATTGCTCATGTTTGATACTTACATCTACGTATGCATCTGTGTACTCTGTGGCAAACGGTTGAACAACGACTGTGAAGTTCTTGTCATTGAATTTCCCCTCGTTTTGAATCTTATACGACGCGTTTCTGTATCCATCGGATAGTTCATCTCGTTGCTTCTGGCGCTCTTCAGAATCCGGACGATGTCTGAAATCCAATAATAGTTATTTTCATCGAATAAATTTTAATTCTAACCCAGTTGTCATAATTGAGTGAGCCTCTTGAAGAAGTTGAGGTGGGAACATGGCAATGACAGTGACGATGGTTCTTGGGAGATTCTCTTTCAAATAGGAGATGCCCTTCTCGATGTAGGCTTTGTACTGGTCTACTGGAATCGGTGGTCTGTCTCCATATCCAAGATCACCAACGTCATTGGTACCAATCCAAAGGGATACTAGTTTCCAGTCCTTCTCAACATCGATCTGGAAATAAGATTTGTAAAAAAATTAAATCTTTGGCAAAACTTATGTTTTCATTGAAAAATCATAAACGTACCTCTTTGACAGCTCTAATTTTCTGCACCAAAACCTGCGCTTGTCTCAGAATATCATCACTTTTCATTCCTCCAATAGCAACATCGAAACCAGCATTGTCTCCATACCCTACACCAGTGCTTCCGCCGTATAACTTGTTTCCAGTTTCTTCTGCGATAACTCGGAAAATGTCTGAAAATTTGATATTCATTTAAAGTTTCGGATACCAGAATTTCCTAACTGTAGATGGTCAAATGTCCATCGACCTCGGCATCCATTCCAGTGAAGTAGGCATTACCAGGATATTGCGTTCTGGTATCATCCAAAATATTTTGTGCGCGAGAACCAATCTAAATTGTTTTGTTGTTTTCAGCTAGATTATGAAAAACTCACAGTCAAAGAGTCACCCATTGCTCCAATCACTCGAATATGATGTGGTTTCACAGCGTTGACGTCATCTGGATACGGTTCTTTCGGATCGATTGATTTCAGATATTTTTCCATTCCAGACTTGAGCGACGACTTGGAAATTGCTAACGTTTGAGCTTCTAGAACAACAATATTATGAAAATAATTTTTTTAACTTACGAATTTTCACAGTTTCCGAAGATGTGGACAGCTCCTCCATTTTAGTATAGATTCGAATGTCCTCTAAAATAAGAGCTGAATGAGAACTGAATAAGAACTGAATTCTTTGGGAGCAACGCATGTACTCTATTTCTCCCCATCAACCACACTATTTCTCTTTTCCCCTTTTCCCTGCCACTGTCTGCGTTTCTTACCCTCATTGCCACGAAACAGTATCAGAAATAGAATGAAAATGAGGAGGAATCCGAGAATCAGAGTGAGAATCAAACGATTCCTGGGTCTGCAGATGCTGAAAATGGGAAAAGAAGGAGGATCGTAGTATTCCTTGTACTCCTGAAAATTATAAGTCATGTGACTTTTTATCTCAATTTCTAGTATTCTAACTTCTTCATGTCTTGTATCCATATTCGACGGTAGTCGGTGGTACAGGGTGTTCCTGTTAAGCTGAAATAAGAAATTCTGAAATCCGTTCCAACTTCTGAACTTACGAATATTTGTAAATTTGGGTTCATTGCGTATCTAGGAAATAGAGGTGTGCGCTCGGTGTCATGCATGATATTTATGGGGGAGAAGTGGAAAAAAAAGAGTATGAGGGAACAGAGAATAAAACAAACAAATTGGTATATGAGTGGAATAAAGAAGCTTGCGATTTATTGAGATTTTGATCTATGAAGATAGTATCGGGATTAAAACAATACAGGTCCATGGATTCTTGACGGCTCTATGGCAATTTTAAACCTATTAATTTGAGAAAACATACAGATTTCGTATGCTAGTAGATGACTTCGTATGCAGTTGATTAGAAAGTAATCACGAATCGTGAAACTTTAGAGAATAGTTGATGTTCTAACCTAATAGTCTCTTGAAGATGTTGATTAACGTGACCTTGAAAAAGAGAATTCATTCAAAAATAGTGAGAAACGGAGAGACGAAAACGCGCCAGAGGCGCGCCAGGAGGCTAGTATGAATAATCTTCAAAAATATTCTCCAAACAAGTTGAAACAAACTGAGAACTTCTCAGCACTTTAGAACGTCGTAAAGTTTCTGAAAGCAGATAAAAGTGTATAAAACCAGGCATATGTAACTATGTTTATGAATTTTTGGCATTCAATGCCAAAAATTATCAAAAAACCTAGTTGAAAAAGCCTGGAATGCCGAAATTTAAATACGAATGCCTCTTTTGTAGTCTCAGGTTTTGAAAGAAAGTTTCGTTTTAAAGAATTCTAAACTTAAGCAGACATTTGTATAGAATGAGAGTTAATGTAATTCTGAATGGAAAATTGGGGTGGAAATTTTCAGGAATTCCAAGACTCGACAAATTTCTTCAAATGATTACTGTATCCAGAGATTTTTTCTCTGATGAAACGCTAGCTAGATTTTCTATGATCAACTACAATCCTATTGTTACAAAGTTTCAAGTTCTGATTCAAAGTTTTTCTATCAACTTTTTTATCTTTCAATCTTCATTTTCCAATATATTTCCCTGATAAAATCCTCCCGACAGTTCTCCTCTCTCTCCAAACCATCTGCGTTTTCATAATCTCTCACCTCTATCTTTTTTTCCCGTAAGAACAACATCGATTTCCTTCCCAACATGTTCGTATATTAGGTCTTGACCATTCTATTGATTTTCATAACCCTTCGATCTTTGTCCACTTGTAATCAACCTGCTCTTTTCCAATCTTATCATTGACATTTTTTATGCGTTGACCTGTCTTTCCCCTTTTTTTTCGTGTCAAAAACTTCCATTTTTGACCATGTATGCCGACTTCATAGCTGGATGGGCAGCAGGTAAGATAACTGGGTTAAAAATAGGAACCAAAAAAAATCAGGGTGTTCAGAAAAGTTGAATACTTTTCTATATAACTTTTAAGTGCTTTATGAAAATTGAGGTTTCAAAATTCAATTTTTTTTTAATTCAGGAGGTGCTGGCCTTCTTGTGGGTCATCCACTAGACACCGTCAAGGCCCGACTTCAGACAATGAATGTTTATAAAGGAATTGTCGATTGTATGGTCAAAACCATGAAGCATGAATCTGTTAGTTCTTAAAATTCGGAAATCAATAAACTCTCAAATTCAGGTATACGGTCTCTACAAAGGAATGTTCGTTCCATTCCTCTCAACTGGTGCTCTTCATTCTTTGCTCTTTGCCGGGTATGGCGCGGGTCTCAAATTCCTTCATCCGGGTGATTCGAATGTCATGGCAAGAAAAGATTTGCCTATGACAGATGTGAGTTTTCATTTTGTTTTTTGTTTAATTTAAATTATTTAATTTCAGATTCTAATAGCTTCCATTTGTGGCACTCTTGTTCAAGTTGGTCCAGTCATTCCTGTGGAATTGTTAAAAACTAAACTTCAAGTGCGTTATTGAAACTAACTAATATCTGAACCTAAATACTTAACAGGTTCAACGAGAAAATGTGGGTCACTTCTCAAAACACTCTCAAAATCTGTACGCTGGTCCGATGGAATGTGCTCGTGAGACAGTCAGAACAGAAGGAATCCGTGGTTTATTCAAAGGAGGAAGTGTCGTTTTCTTCAGGGATAATATTGGATATCTTTTCTATATCCCGGTCTACGAGGGGCTCAACAGATACTTTAGAAGTCACAATCTGGAAAACACATACACCCAGGTAAGAATTGATTTTCTTAATTTGAACTAAAATGATTTTTCAGTTATTTGCTGGAGGATGTGCAGGAATCAGTGGATGGATTTCTGTCTGTCCATTGGAAGTTGTGAAAAATCGGATACAGGCAGACAAGAGTCATAAGACGATGTAAGTTATAAGACATTTCTGATTCCGAAATTCGAAAATCACTTGTCGTGCAATTATACAATTCGTACTTATTTTATCACTAAATTAAGACTACGAGGAAACAGAAAGAGAAACAATAAATCGTATAGTTGGAATTAGTCTCGATAACAGAGAAGAAGACACTATATAATACATTTTCAGATCTCCAAAAGAGATGATTCTGAAAATCTATCGAGAAGAAGGACTCCGATCGTTCTATCGAGGAGGATGGGCACTTTCACTACGTGGATTCGTCGTCAATGCTGTCATTTTTGTTGTCTATGAGAACACTTATGCGTTTTTTGATTGAAATTTTTGTTCCCACGAACTCAAAACTTTTTCATTTTTTGTTTGTATAAACTCAGTTGAAGATCACAAATGCATCATTCTTTTTCATTTCACACAAATAGGCAATCTTATCTCTTTTTCTCTTTTATCTTCTTATAATCTTATCATGGGTGGTCCATTTGAAAATTGGAAAACTAGTTGTCTTTAGATAGGTTGACCTAAATTCTTCATCCATCCTCCGCCCATCGATCTTTCCTATCCGTTTTTCAAGGCAATGATGCCGTTCAAACCACCAAACGATTCCCATTACACACTTGGCAGTTTAGTGGGTCATTTGATGACCAACAACTGTCTTTTGATCCGTTTTTTCCTGAGTTCTTCTTCTTTTTGCTTTGTATTAGTTTCCAAATGTCACGAGGAGAGCTATTGAAGCTTTTTGAGATTGAACTAGGATGATGTAGATGATCAGTGTACAAGGTTAACAATTCAAACCTTTGGTTTGCATCGAAACACACGGAACGCAAATTGTGATTAATGTTAATGAGTAGTTTCAAGATTTTTTTTTTGATATTCATGCCAAACTTGTAAAACAAATAAGTTTCATAAGACCAAACCCTGATTTAATTAGCTTCAGACCCTATTTGTACCATTTCCGAACCGCTTAATCCTCAATTCAAATACCATTTGATATCGAAAGTTGATCCAGAATTCAATTAATTGTTTAACATGCCTGTGTTACGATTTAAACACATTATTTGTCTCTCAGCTTTCACTTTTTTATTTACTATCATTTTGTACGTATCAATATCAAAAATAAACCTTGCCATTGATACCAGTCATTCCAGACCTCCCGATGCGGTTGCTTCTCCCGTTGCTTCTCCTGGCTATTGGAGTTTACGGTTTAGATAATGGTCTTGGAAGAACTCCACCAATGGGATGGATGTCGTGGACTGCTTTTTACTGTGAGATTGATTGTCAGAAGCATCCGACAGGTTGTATTAATGAGCAATTGTATAAGGACATGGCCGATGAACTTGGTGAGTTATAACCTAATTTTTGTTAAATAAATTTTGTTATTTTCAGTCGCCGGAGGTTATGACAAACTGGGATATAAATCGGTTCATATTGATGATTGCTGGTCTGAAATGGAGAGAGATGCCAATGGAATTCTGGTTGCCAACAAGACAAGATTCCCGAGCGGAATGAAAGCTTTGGCAAAATATGTAAGATCAATAGGATAGGCCATTCAGTTGAAAATACAAATTCAGATGCATGATCGTGGACTCAAATTCGGAATCTATGAAGACTATGGAACAAAGACATGTGGTGGATATCCAGGAAGCTATCAACACGAAAGAACTGATGCTCAAACGTTTGCTGCATGGGATGTAGACTATCTGAAACTTGATGGATGTAACATTGACCAAGCTTTGATGCCGATTGGATATCCACTCTTCGAGAAAGAATTGAATGATACTGGAAGACCGATAATGTATTCGTGCAGTTGGCCAGCTTACTTGATTGATCATCCAGAACTCGTGGATTACAACTTGATTGGAAAATACTGCAACACTTGGCGTAATTTCGACGACATCAATTCTTCATGGAAATCTATTGTGTCCATCATTTCATATTACGACAAAATGCAGGATAAACACATTCCAACTCATGGACCAGGAAAATGGCATGACCCAGATATGCTTGTAATTGGAAACAAGGGTATTACAGTGGATATGTCCATCTCCCAAATGACAGTATGGTGCATTTGGTCAGCTCCACTTATCATGTCAAATGATTTGCGTATCATTGGAGACGAATTCAAGGCGATTCTTCAAAACCAAGAGGCAATCCGAATCAATCAAGATCCACTTGGAATTATGGGACGATTGGTGCTAAATGTGAGTTCTAATAAATCAGAAATAATTAGTAATTAAGCTAATTATCCTAATTTTCAGAGAACTGACATTGGAACATATGTGAAGCAAATCAGCCCATCAAAAGGAGACAAGAAGTCATACGCATTCGCTCTTCTGAACAGAAATGAGAAGAAGGGATATGTACGTTTTAAAAATAACTTCAAGATCACAAAATAGACTTTCAGCAGAATGTTGAAATCCAACTCTCCACTCTTGGTCTCACTGATCCTTCTGGATACTTTGTCCACGACATCTGGTCCCATGTGGATCTGGGACTTCTTCGTCCAGGAGACAGCATCAACGTGAATATTGCACCAGCAGGAAGTAGTTTCTTCCGTGCTGACGTGGCTTCTCTTCATCGACCAATGGTAAGAAGACATTATAAATTGGACAATTCCAATGTTTTTTACGAGTTTGAAAAGTCACAGGCTCAATACGAGCGTCCTGATCTCTCTGATTATTTGAAAACTAACAGAGTTCCATTTTAAGCTTTAACTTGTTTTTTTCAGTATTGTATATACCTTTTCATGTATTTCTTAAAATCAAGATTTTAATGTACCTCGCCATCTTAATTTTGAATTTTCTTGACTATCGAATTGGCAATCTCGTGTTCAATCTCAATAAAATTCACCGAGATCTTTATAATTTCATCTTCGACAATTTTTTACAGATATTTTTTGATGAAATTTTTTCACAAGTTTTGCGTCTAGGCGACTGACTACAGAACCAGAATATCGAGGAGGAAGAGATGAGCTATAGAGATTGAGAGTCTCCTTTTTAATTCTGAATTTCAATTTTCTATTCAATTTTAATTAAATTATAATATGGTTTCAAGGATTCCACTTTTTCGATATAACACTGATTCCTTTTGCTATCCATCCAGAACTTACTCAAAGGTAAATGATAGCAAATCAAGTCTACCACAATTAAATTTTTCTGCAATAAATACCGTATTTCCTCTAAAAGAGGCACACCCAAACCGTCAACTTTTAGCTCAATTATTCCGGTTCCTATGAGAGATATAAAAAATCTGCCAATTAATAAAATATTGGGAACGTTATGATAAACATTTTGTCAGTTTACCACTTTTTGATATCTTTCACAGCAACCGAGATATATGCGCCCCAAGTACAAGTATAGGGTTGCCTTCTTTTTAAATGTGCACGATATTTTTTCAGTTTTTTCGAAGTCGAAGGTCTCTGACAATATTATCCATATTCGCCATTACATTGTTCTTTTGTACTTTAATTTTGTATGCGAAAGTGGATTCACTACCATTCCGGAATTTGAAGTTCCAACAGTTTATTCTGAAGGAAAATTGTTTTCCAATGAGATTTGATCATACTCATGCGTATATCACTTCGGCTTATTATTACCGAAATTCTAAATCGTTGGTTATATTTTTAACTCAAAGAAAAACCATAATTAACACTACAGATTGGGAGAGAATGCGGTTGCTATGGTAGTGGTAATGAGTCAGAAGACATGCAAAGATCTTGAGAAATACGAAATGACGATTGTAGGAACTAATGAATACAATAATAGTATGACATCAAAGGCTTCATTAAAAATGTAAGCAACCACTTTTACACTCTAAACTAATCGAAATTACAGAGAAACGGCGGAGGAAATGTCTTGTGAATATGTGATGGTTTTTGTACAAGCTCAGACTATTATGAACCCTAAGCGACTCGAAATCGAATCGCTAGGTACTAGAGTTCAGGTGCGTATTCATTTCTTGAGCTTTTTTTGCATTTAGCATTTTCGATTCATCAATTAAATTCAAAATACAGTTTCTCATCTTCTTTTATTCATGTAAAAATTGAGTCTTAATTCATCAGATTCCATTTCGAGAACCGCGTAAATGGTCGCATTCTCCAGTCATTATTTGTATCGCTCCGCAATTTGTAGCGGAAAAATGGCAAGTGTTTCTTATGAACATCCATGTTGCTAGACGATATGGAGGACATATGCATTTTTACATTACAAGTATGGTCGAGGAACTTTTTAATACATTGAAGATTTATGAAAGCAGGGTAAATTGAAAATATGTAACTTTCGAATATCTATGAATTTCAGGGAAGTCTGACACTTGATTATTGGGTCAGAATGAAGTTTCAAGAAACGACATCACCGTATGCAGATCCAATGAGAAATGTTGAATGGAGAAATCAAGCAGGAGCACAGACAGATTGTTTGTTGCAATATAAAGTAAGTTTTTTAAACATTAATATTACGCTGGTACAAAAAATTGAAGCTGTGGAAGAGAAACTCCACTGGTCGTGGCCGAAGGTCTCACAATGACAACTACCGTAACCTAAAAAGCAATACTTTATTTTTCAGGAAGTAGCTGAATTTGTTGCCTTCTTTGACATTGACGACATTCTTATTCCTCGATCATCTCAAAATTATCATCAAGAATTCTCAAGTCATTTTAATCCTGATCCATCATTCCATTCAATTTTCTACAACAAAAGAGATGTTGAAGTGCAAAAAGTGAAAAATGTAAAAGACTTTTCTTTTCGTCAACTGTTCTCCACAATGAAAATTAGAAAAGAGGAAGGGTATGGGAAGTCGATTGTGAATCCACTGAAGTACAATTCCACATGGATTCACCACTCATTCCAATTGCCAAGAGATAAGATTTTGAAGATCTTCAACACGGAAATAATTCATGTCAAAGACATTTTGATTGTTGAGCTGGATCTAAATGCTCCTTTCAAATTGCCAAAGGTTTTTGGAACAGAATCAGAGCCATTGATAAGAGAGACAGATCTCAAATCACTGGATATAGACTTCCAGAAGTGAGTGAACTGTGAGGAATTTTATGTGACCGAACTCCATCAATTTTCAGTTTATTTGAAGATACAGGATATAGAGAAACAGCTGTTCAAATGGTAGACCATGATTTCTACAGTCCGATTGTCTTCAAATGCTACAACGAGTCTTTCTATCATCCATTTTTTGTAGAACACAAACATTTTAAAGACATTTGTCCAAATGCGGATAACTGTGAAGTAAGCTAAGATAATCATACATTTCATAATTTGTATTTGCAGCTTCCTCAACGCGAAGATATTAAATGCATCCATTCAGATGCCGAATATATCTCTGGACCTGAAATGTATCCAATCACTTTCCATTACGCTATTCGCCCATACTGGTCAAAAGAAATAGGATGTTATCAGTAGTTCTTACTGTAGCTTAATTTAACTGTTCCCGGTGCGGTGCCAATTGTATTTTCAAAAACCAAAAAGCTTATTCTGCTTCTGTTTCTTTCTAGTTTTCACACGGTTGCACACAAAATATTGTGTCCAGTCAGTATGAGTCAAAATACACAAGGGATTGTCTTCCTGTTCTTCAGTGTTTCCTTTTGTGTAAATTAGAGAACACAGAAATTAGAGTCTCGAGTCTTAACATTCTCTAAAAGTTCTGAAGTTCGTGATCCAGTTCTTTACACCCGGAAAGTGACGAATACTTGAAATTATTTTACTTGACAGATAAGAAATGGTAAAACAAGTAAAAGAAAAAGATAAGTGTGATATTAAAATCATCTCATCTCCGTTTGGCGAAAAAGGAAACTACAGTAATCCATGTCTAATATTGGCCTCCAAAACGATCTGAAATTTATAAAATAATCTAAACTCAAAAGGTTGGAATCAGAGAAAAAGGGAACTTGAAGAACTTGAATTCGAAAATTGGAATCTATGAATCCATAAATAAGGAAAAGCTGAAATTAGGAATTTTCGAATTTTGGAAATTCTGAATATCCAGAATTGTAAGTTTTCGAAATTTCAGAAAAAACATCAGCAAACCGAACAAAATTTCTAAACTCCCGAACATATGTTTCTTGCCTTTTGAGTTAAGGACTTTTAGAATTTGCAAATTTCTGAATTTTCGAACATTCGAATTGCTGAAAATTGAAACATTAAAAATTTGAAATATATGAAATGGAGTTTTTCAATCTCTCTCTCTCTCTCTCTCTCTCTCTCTCTCTCTCAGGCTGGTTATAATAGATATTTTCCAATTTCAGAATTTCTGAGTTTTGGGAATCATAGATAGATAGATAGATGAAAAATCATTTCATGTACCTTAAAAATCACATTTTGTGATTTTGATGTTTGAGTTAGTCCATTGTAAGTAAAAATAATTGCTGCAAAATCTGAATATTTCTCAAGCTATTGTCGACAGGGTTGCAGATTGACGGGCCGGCCCGGGCCGGCCCGTCAGAGAAAAATTTCCGGCCCGGCCCGGCCCGTCGGCCCGTCCATAGCTTTTTCAGAGAAACATTTTTTTGATGAAAAATTTTTTGAGCGAACATAGGCACCATTGGTCCTATTTTTAGCTATTTCTACCATTTTTAGGCCTATTTCGGCCTATTTTTAGGCTTTTTCT